TATTTAAATTGTAACTGCTTATATTTTTTGTATTTTATGTTTGCTTTTATTATTTTTTTAAAAATATTTCTATTTTAATATTTTTTTTTCTCATTTTCAATATTTCTTAATAATAACTATATATTCTATTTTATAATTATTTCTAAATAAATTAAATTTATTTTTATAAAAATAACGCATATTTAATGATATAATTAATTTATTTATAGTTTTTAAATATAAATATATTGATTTAATATTTTTCATTAAAACATTATTATAAATGTTGTTTAGAGGTTCATTTTTTTAATTAAATATATAAATTAGTAGTTAAATTCTTTAAAGAAAAATTTTTGTTAAACATTGGAATATCATAACTATGATAATTATTATTACAAGATTTTTATTATATTTTTAAATTATTAGTATTGTTGTTCCAATATTATATTAAATTATTCTTTAAATATATTTTATTTATACTTTTTTAATTCTTTATTTTTATTTATATTTAAATGTATTTGTAATTAGAATATTGGTAAAATTTTACTTTTAAAGAAAAGATTATGTATCTGTTTTTTATAATACTAATATATATATATATTTAATATAAGCTATTTTTATAATTTATTTTATTTATTTTTGGCTTGGCTAAGTATTATTTTAAATGCTTTAATTTTTTTTTTTAAATAATTAACAAGATTTTAATATTAATTAATTTTTAATATCAAAAACAAATAAAATTTAAATATTTTATAAGATAAATGCAAATAATTTTGTCTTAAAAACTTATAAACATTAAATTATTTAAAAAAAAATGATAATATAAATTTTAAATCAGAAATATATTATGCACTTTATATTTTAAAGGTTTATATTAAATTTAAATACATTATCAATATAATTAACCAATATTGTAGTTATAAATATTTTTAATCTCATATAAAAATATATATATATGTGTATTATTTATATTTTTTATAATTATTATTATTATTTAAACTTTTTATATTTAATTAAAAAAATTATTTACTTAACATTTTTAATATTTATATCATAAGTAAAATACATTTTAAAAATAAAATTTTATTAGATTTAGTCTTTTTTTTAGTCTAAATTGTGCATACGCATAAATATAGAGAATATGATTTAGAAAAGAATTTCTTTGATAGACTTTAAGATGATTAAAAATATAACCTAAACGAAAATTTTAATATAGTCTCAACAAAGAAAACCTATTAGATTAAATATTAATTACTCATACCTTGACAAAAATCTACCTCATTAAATAAAAAATTATACATTTAGATTACTGGAAACTACGAAACTTTATTTTTAAAGACTTTTTAAAAGTAAACCCAATTTTAGGAAATAACTAATTCTCATAAAATAAAAATAGTAGATTATGGTATTTAGATTGATAAAGTATAATGATTAAAATTGCTGCTGTATCTAGAGGCATTCATGAATCTGAATTTTATTAACATATTTATTTTATAACTAAAAATACACATAAGATGGAAATTTAGCAAACGCTATGGATTTTGTTTACAATGAAATACACATCATTTGAGAATGATCTTGAAGCTACTGTCCATAAAATTTTACATACACTAGGATTTATTTAATTTTAAATGTATCTTTGCATAAATTCTGAGACAGAGAGAGTATAATAATATGGAAATACATTTAAAATGGCAAAAAAAATTTATGGAATAGCTTACATAATAATCTAAAGTTTAGTGTTCTTTCGAAAATGATGGATATGGGGAACCTGCTACTACTCCTTTCTTAGATAAATGTCTGATGAAAAGTAATTATGGCAATAGATTGCTTATTTCTTATAAAAATAAAAATAAGGATATTGATATTGATATAACATTAGAATATTTTGGTATTAATAGTAAATGCTTTACTTATACAAGCATTAAAGCTTTTATTAAGAAATGATAATTAAAAAATATTTCATATATTTTTATGCTCCCCTGATAAGAAAATATTATTATTATTGATTTATCTTAAATTAAAAATAAATTATATGCGTTGAATAAGAAGAAGTAAAGACTATTCATCTTCAAAATAGTAGATTTGATAAAATGTTAGATTGTGTAAAATGTTTTGTCCTTATTCATTATCTTTATTCTTTGATTATGTTCCTATATGTGCAAATCATTGTAGCTCTGTGGGTGTTTGTGTAAGAGGAGTTGATTGTTTTAAATTAATTAGTCCTGATAGATTTTGCTAAAACTTTTATCTTAATGGTTATTTTAGATACGTTCCAAAATGCTCTTAATGTCATCTTTCATATAAAAGATTTAAAGGAGAAACAGCTTATGATTTTGTACACTTTGTTAATTTTTGGCATAACTAAATTAAAATGTTTAATTAATGTATAAATTTATAGAGATCATAAAAGATTGCTTAAAGATAGTTAATTAAATAAAAATTTTAATGGCAAAAGTAAAAATAAAAATTATTTTTGATGATTTTATGCTACAAATTTAAATATTTTTTTTTTATAATATGATTATTTTTAAATAAAACCATTTTTTATAAATTTAAATTATATATATAAATAAAAAAATATTATAATTTTATAGCTTTTCAAAATATTATTATAAATTAATACTATTTTTTATAATAAAAAATCAAAGATATTATTAAACTAAAAAATTAATATTTTAAATGAATATTATTTTTTCTCTTAATATATTAAATTTTCTACATTATAATAACAAAAAAATTAACATTTATATTTACAAAATATTATATAAATAATTTATTTTTAATCCTGTATAAATAACAAATTCCATAAATTATTATAATAAATTTAATATAAATTAAATGCTAATAATTATATATTAATACAAAAAAAGATTATTAATTAATAAAGAATAATATTATTAATGAAATAAATAAAAGAATTAAAAACAATATTCATAAAAAAGTATAAAAATCAATTTCTAAATTAAATACATAATAATTCTAATTAATATTCATAATAACGTAATTAATGATTAATTAATAAAATAATATATAAATAAATAAATAAAAATGTGTTTGTTTCTAACTTAAATATACAAGTACTTTTTATATTTTTTTGTAAAAAATAAAAGAAATTTCTTCATATTTTATTTTTAAAGATATATTTTTTAAAATATTATATTTTAAATATAATTATCTTATATTATTATTATTTTTATTTTTTATTTATAATTATTAATATTTAATATTTTATTTTATTTTATTTTATTTTATTTTTTTTATTTTATTTTATTTTAATATAGTCAATATTATTAAAGATATTTTTTTAATTCATATTTAACCATAAATTTTTTATGTTTCTATGTTATTTTTTCTATTATATATATATTTATAATATATTTTATATTATATTTTTTACCTTATTTATTTATTATTAATTTTTGCTCCAAATAAAATTTTGTATTATAATTAATATATTTTTAAATCCTTGCCAATATTAAAAATATTTGATTTATATTTTTTTAAATGAAATTTCATTGTTTTTCTATTAAAATAGAGATATTAATAATAAGTATAATATATTCATAAATTGTTTTTAATATTATATTTAAGAATATATTTTTTTTTATTAATTTATATTTAACATTTTTGTTTAGTTTATCATTTTTTATTTCTGATTTTTTTAATTAAATATATATATTGGTAGTTGAATTCTTTAAAAAAAAAGTTATGTTAAACATTGAAATGTCATAACTATGATAATTATTATTAAAAGTTTTGAGTATTTTTTATAATATATATATACTTTTTTTTAAATGCTTTTATATTTTATATATTCAATAATATGCTTAAATTTATATTTAATTAGAATATTTTTGATAAAATTTTATTTATAACACAAAGATAATTTATCTGTTTTTTATTATATTTATATATATATTTAATATAAACCATTTTTATATTTTAGTTTGATATTATTTGGGATAATTAATATTTAAAAAGCTTCATAATGATGTTTAAAAAATTATCAAAATTTAAATAAATTTTATTTAAAATATCTAAAATAAACAAAATTAAAATCTTTGATAAAATAAATACAAATTAGTTTGTCTTAAAACTTATAAGCATTAAATTATCTTTAAAAAAAATATTGATAAATAATTATAATTTTAAATCTAAAAAAATATATATATATATTTATTTAAAAATATATATTAAATTTAAATAAATAGAAATATATTAAACCATTTTTTATTTATAAATATATTTAATTTTATTTAAAAATATATAAATTTCTTTATAATTTTCTATAGATTAATATAATATAAATTCATTTATCTATTTTTTTTTATTTTGACTAAAATAATATTATTTTTTATATAATTTTTTTCAAATTATTTTATAAATTCATTAATTATATTTTAATATAAATAAAGAATAAAATCATATTAAATATTTATATAAAAAATTTTATAATTAATTAAATTTATATTATTTTATAATAATATTTATTCTATAAATGTAATTAATATCTAAAATTATTTTATATTATAACTATATAATAGATTAATTTCATAATCACTATATATATGGATATGTATTTATAATAATTTTTATAAACTATTAAAAATTATTAGAATAATCTTTTTAATTTTAATTCTACATTTTTTTCAATAAAAAGTTCTAAATATATCTTTATTACTTAAGTTATTATCATTTAATTATTTATTAATAATTATATTTTATGTTTTTTTAAAAAGCATCTTTTTTTTATTTAATTTAAAGTTAAAAAAAAAAATATAAAAAATATAAATTTAAGAAAAATAAATTAAAAAAAAGTAAAAAATAGTCAAAATTTATATGAATATTAAAAATATAATTTTATCAATTTTAGTAATTTTGTTCCTAGTTCAAATTGTAAATACACATAAATGTAGACACAAAGAGCTAGAAAAGAGTTTATATGATAGACTTAGACTTATAGATGATTTAGAAACATAGTCTAAACGAAATCTTTAATATTTAAGACCTAAATAAAGCTAACCAATTAAAATAACTATTGATTACTCATTCCTTGATAAAAATCTAGCTCAAATATATAAAAGTTATATATTTAGATAAATGGAAACAGCGAAAATTTATTTTTAAAAACTTTTAAAAGTAAACCCATTTTTAGGAAATAACTATTTTCCTAGATATAGCAAATTATGGAAATAAAGTTGCAACGGTGTTTTTATTCCAGATAGTGCTATAGAAGTAGGTATTCCTGATTCTGATTTACATATTTATGTTATAACTAAAAATAAACCATAAGATGGAGATTTGGCAAACGCTTGTGTTTGTGCTTACAACGATATGTACATGAGACCTTCTTTTGGTAGAATCTAATTTGATTTAGGATTATTTGGTAAAAATCAGGATGCTGAATCATTTGAGAATGATCTTGAAACTACTATCCATGAAATTTTACATATCCTAGGATTTAGTGGATTTTAAATGTAATTTTGGATAAATCCTTAGACAGGATAATATTATGGATAATATGGATTATCTTAAATAACGAAAATAGTAATTTATAGAGGTTTACCGACAACACTAGTTATGACAAAAAATATACTTTAAACTGCTAGAAAATATTATGCTTGTCCTAATATGGAAGGTATGTAACTTGAAAATGAAGGAGGATCAGGCTCTTTAGGTTCTCACTGGGAATAACTAATTGTTTAAAATGAAATGATGATGGCTAGTGATGTAATTACAGATGCTTAATTATCAGTTCTTACTATTGCTTTATTAAGAGATACTGGTTATTATACTGAAGTAAATGAAAACATGGCTGATAACCTTTATTGGGGTAAAGGAAAAGGATGTTCGTTTGTAATTGAAGGATGCTATAGTAAACAAAAATTTGATGAGTTCCCGTAAGAAATGAAAGTATAATGTTCTTTCGAAAATGATGGATATGGTTTTCCTGAAACTACTCCTTACTTTGATAAATGCTTGATGAAAGATATTTATGGCAATAAATTGTGTACTTCTTTTAAAAATAATTTTCAATTTAATAATAGTGATATTGCATTAGAGTATTTTGGTATTAGTAGTAAATGTTTTAACTCTACAAGTAGTAATAATGTTAAATTATTAAATGATGAATAAGCAAGATGTCATATGTTTAAATGTTCTCCTGATCATAAATCTATTAGTATTTTTTTTCCTTAAATTAAAAGATAAATCATTTGTACTAAAGAAAAAGAAGAAAAGTTGATTAATCCTTAAAATGATAGATTTGGTAAAATTGTTTGCCCTTCATCATTTCTTTAATTTTGTGATTATGTTCATATATGTCCAAATTATTGTAGCTCTGTGGGTTTTTGTGTAAGAGGAGTTTGTTTATGTTTACCTGGATGGGGAGGAGTTGATTGTTCTGTAAAATGTCATTAAGTAGTATCAGACAAAACATGTGTAAAATAATGTCCTGGAAATTAAGTAATTAGTCCTGATAGATCTTGTTAGAACTAATGTCCTAACGGTTATTTTAGACATGGTCCTAAATGCTTTTAATGTCATCCGTCATGTAAAAGATGTAAAGGAGGAACAGCTAATGATTGTACACTTTGTTAATTTTTGACACAACCAAATTAATATGGTTAATGTATAAGCATATATTGATAAGTTAAAGATATCTTAGAAATTTAAAAATATTATTTTTAATAATATTTATATATATATATATATATTTATATATATATCAAAAATAATTGAATTTTTTAATAAAAAAAATTTTTTTAACTTAAAATTATTTTATAAATTAAAAAAACGTATTTAATTAAAATATTTAAAAACATTATTATAAATCAATAAATATTGATTTTTAATAAAAAAATGCATAATTTTTTTTTATATTAATAAATAAAAGGAATAAATAAAAGGTATTACAAAAATTTAATAATTCTTAAACGTAAAATAATTTTTACTCTTAATATATTAAATTAAATTGATAAGAAAATTAATATTTTAAATTAAAAACTTTTAATAAGCCAATTTTGTTTTAAACATATAAAATTATAAAAATTAAAAAAATATTATTTTAAAATTAAGTAAAAATTAAAATAAAAACATTATATGGATGTATATAGATATATTTAAAACAATATAAATCATGCAACAAATTAAAAATATAATTGATTTTCATATTAACAAAAAATAATAAATAAATTAATAAAAATAATATATTTTTTTAAGTTAAAAAAATATTTGATTATAATAAATAATATTGATAAATATAAAATTTGAACTTATGTTTAATTAATAATATTATAATTAAATGTAAAAATTTTTTTTTTTTAAAAAAAAATATTTATTTGTATATTTTCTTTTTAAAAATGTTTATATTTCAAAAATCATAAAGGGTAAATAAATAAATATTTTTCAATATTCTAATTTTTGAAAAATAGAATATATATATTTTTAGAAATATTAAGTAATTTATCAATTGATTTTTGCTTTTATTTTAATTTAATAATTCATATAAATAAAATTCATATTTTGACAATTTTTTTACAATAATTTGATTAAAATACAAATATAGATTTTTAAATATTTTAAATTTGAAAAATTTTTTTAAAATAATATAAATTTGTAAAGCAAATAAATAAATATAATTACGAATGAAAGTTTTTAATTTTTAAGAATTTTAATGTTTAAATTTTTAATTATTCATAAAATAATAATGATACATTTTAATCACTAAATCCTAATGGTTTAAAATATTAAATTACCTTAAATCAGTTTGCAAGAAAAATATTAATAAAATAGTTAATATGCTAAATTTTAATTTAATTAGTGTATAATGAATTTTAGTTAATAAACTTATGTTATTTTAATAAAATTTGGATATAATGAATGATTAATTTTATAATTTTTTTGTATTTTTATTATTTAAATAATTATAACTCTTTTATGGATGTATTAAAAAGAATACTTTAATAAAATAGCAAATATTATCTCTGTTTATATAAAATAATATATTTATTATAAGTATTTTTTTAATAATATTAAAATTATATTTCAATTATGTTTTAATGGAATTAATTTAATTTACTGACAAAAAAATAGGAAATAAAATCTAAAATTAAAATATTTGATGAAGGAGCAATAATCCATAAATAATTTAAAAAAAATCCATTTAAAAAGTTTATAAATTATAAAAATTTTAATCATATAATTTTACAATATAAAATTAATTATAGAAAAAATAAGAATGCAAATAAAAATTAAACTAATAATGGTTTTAGATAAATTATTAATTTTGCAATTTTTTTTAAACAAAATTTAAATATATTAAATAGAGAAAAATTATTATTTTATTATATATTTTAAAAATTAAAAATAATTTATTTTTTTATTTTAAACAATATAAATAAATAATAAATAAAAACATTTATTTAAATATATAAAGAAAACTATAAAAATTAAATAAAAATGAAAAATACAAACAATACGATTTATTTGAATTTTTATATTTATTCGAAATATCTTTATATATATATTTTTTTTGAATATCACTCTGATTCCCCTAATTTTTTTAATAAATTATAATGACCTTTCAAAGCATCCCAAAAAGTATTGTAAGTAACATATTTGACATTATTTTATTTGCAATATTCTTAAACTACTTGGCTAATTTCAAATAACCTTGTGTGTGAATATCCAGGGGCTAAATGATGTTCAATCTTTAAAATATATAAAAACATGAATATATAAATATCTTTAATATATATGATTTTTTTAATAATTTTTTTATTTTATCTTTATTTGTTATTAAATAAAACTTAATATTAATATTTTATATAATAATATACTTAAAAATTTAATCCTCCACAAATATGACTCCAAAAAGTACTATCAAGAGCGAAATTGCATGAATTTTAAATTTACATGATTCCCCAATCTGTATTATTTATATTACTATTGTCAGTAAAATTAGCTTCATCAGTCCAATGATTAACTGCAAAAAACAAAGCATAAGAATAACTAAAAAATATAAAAAAAATAATTTATAAAAAATAGTTAAATAACCTAAATATAACCATATACAACATCCAAATAGGAAAAGCCCATAAATACCCATGCAGATATGTAGGAATAATAATTAAGGTAATAAACCATATCATTTTAATAATTGCTTAACTAAAAACTTAAAAATTAGAACAAAATCCTTATCTACTTGGAAAATTACTCATCCAGTATATTTCATCAAAAGTACCAAACAGATCGCCAAAATTAGTTAAACCATATACAAACCAGACATAAATTTATTAATACTTATGAAACCACAATTTAGGCTGCATTCTATGAAGTCTAATAAGTGGAAAAGTAGTATCAAAAGATCTATCTAATTCATAATGATTAGCACATCCATGATGCCCAAAATCATGGGACCTTCTATATACTACGGAAGAGGAAAAAGTCAACTCCAATGTATATCCAGCTATTTTCGATATTAGTTTATTAGAAGTAAAAGCCACATGGTTTCCGTCGTGCATTACATTTATTCCTATTTGTCCAGAAATAAATCCGAAGGCAAAAGTGTAAAAAAGAGTGTTTTCTTTTACAAATTTGTAGAATAAATATATGTAGGATACTAAGACTATAAATGATTTGACAAATAAACGAATATCGTTTTATCGCTTATTTTTTGGAATTTTTTATTCAATTTATTTTTTTATATTTAAATAAAAGCTATCTTTGTAAGAATAAAAGTCGCTATAATTATAAACTTCCCCAATCAAAAAATCATCTTGTAAATTTTTTTCGATAATCCAAGTTGGATGGTATGAATACCACATAAAGTACATTCACCACCTGCTCCATCTAATATTATATCACCACTATTTTTTATGTTTTTTTTATTTTTTTATTTTATTTTTATTCATACCCTGGATGTTGGGAAATATAATTTGATAAATCATATACTTTACCTTGTATTACAATCCAACAATCATCTCTTTTATCGTGTTGAATTATTTCAGGCCATGTGTATATTTTATATTCAGGTTTTTCGTTTTATTTTTAATCAGATTATTTTTTATTTTTTTTAAGTTCTTTTATTTTTTTTAATAAAAATTATAGTTATAAGTACCTTCAAATTTAAGTGTTTTCCATTCTCTAATTGACATGATTTCACATAATAATAGAAAAGAAAGCCCTATAGAACAAACTCTGAACTTAAGTCTTTCAATACTGTACCCATAAAGCTAATATTCTCTAATTGTAAAAGGAACTAAAATAACCATCAATGTAACTACTAATACGTTTAAAGATTTCCACCATAAAGGTTTTTTCCAAATAAATATTTTAGGTAATAGATCTATTGTATATAGTAATTAAACCACTATTTCTAAAATCTTATATATTAAGTTCGCTATTTAGATTTAATTTTCACTACTTGTAACTGCATATGTAGGAAAAGGCCATATATCATATGTCTGTTTGAATATATAGTATATAATTGCAGGTATTTCTAGTGCTAGACTTGTAAATGGAGATATGAATGTAAGTAAGTGTATAGAAATGATTATAAAGAGTATTTTTCTAAAGTATCTATGAGAATGTATACGTAAAATATGTTGGAAAAATTGATTTGATTTTTATTTTTAAAGGCCTTCGTCTTTTAATTTTTTATCTTTTAAGTTATTGCTTTTTTACATTTAGGAACTATTGATAAATATATTTTAGAATCTTTTTAAATTATTTTTATATTTATTTTATTTTATTTAGTTTTTTTTCTTTCTTGTTATAATTTGCCTTTTTTAATTTTAATTTTAATTTTTTTTTTTCTTTTAATAGATATTTTATGTTTATATTTCACGTTTAATTATAATTATTTATGTCTTTAAATATAGAAAAAAATGTTTTTTTTTTTTTAAATTAAAAGCATAATAAAATTTAAATTTGATTAAGAGAAATAATATAATATAATATTATATTTTTTATATTTGAAAATATATATTTTTTTAAAAAATTATTTTATTTAAATGTATTTTTAAAATAAAAATACATGTTAAATTAAAAAAAAATTAAGTTAAAATATATATTTCTTATTCTTTTTCTAGTATTTATATTGAAATATGAAACAAAAAAACATATAATACATAATTCATGTAATATTCGTTTATTTATTTAATATTTTAATTTTAAAATAAATTTAAAATCCTTAAATTTTTAATTAAAAAAAATTAAATAATTCACATAACATTGAGTAATTATTTATTTTTAATTTTATATATTTTTCCATCTATTTTTAAAATTAGATCTTCTTGTCCTTTTCTAAAATTATTCATAATATTTTTTAGTTTTTAATTAGAACATTTGCTTTTTTCTCTGCCTATCATATATTCTTTTATAATATTAGAATATTTCAAAGGAATTTTTTTTTCTAAAATTACAGAATTATCGAAAGCTATTTCTGCAGCAGGTTATACAATTGTAGTAATAGTTCCTATTAATAAATTTTATAAGAAAAATCCAATAAAAATAACAAGAAATCCAAAAAATAATCCGAATAAAGCATTCTATATATATAATTTAAAATTATTAAATACATTTTTTAATAAAAAACTTTTAATAATGCTTCTCTTGCAACATCTCCCCAAGCATCAAAAGTTATGGTCTAAAATAAAAACAAGAAAGTTGAAATGAAATCTTCAAAATATATATTAAAATTTTAACTAAATCCATGTAATATATAATATGCAATCATTGTTAACAAATATAAAAGAAGTAAATTTACAAAAAGCATTTCTTTTATCTTTATAAATAAACATATATTATAAATATTATTTATACTTTTTCAATAACTAAGCTTAGTCTTTCTAATGCAAATTAAACTTAATATGTATTTAAAAGTATTAATACTCTAAAACAATTTCCTACATCTAAAGAAATTTCATTATAAAATAAATAAATGAATAAATCTATTCCAAAAGTTACAATACTTGAAAGGAATAAAACTGTTAATTTGATTATATTGATAGTTTTTTTATTTTAAGTATTTTTTTATACCTAAAATTTTTCTTTTTAAATAATTTTTTTTTAATTTATATTTTTTTTACTTCTTAAAAAAGTTCAAATAAAATTAAAAATCCAAAAAATATTTCACAAAATGAATGCAAAAAATAAGATTTATAATGCAAAGCATCAATGAAATGTAATAAAATTTTTGTTAAAAAATAACATTATTTATAATTATTATTAATCATATCAAAAAGACTGATTTTTTTTTCATATTTTTTATTTATACATATATCTTAAATCAAATTTTAGACAGTTAAAAGATTATTTTATTCTTTATTTTTTTCTTCATATAACTTTTTTTTTTTTTTTTATTTTTTTATTTTTTTTTAAAGTTTACAAAATTAACTCGGTATTATTTTTTACTATAATATGTAACAAATACACTTAAGAAAAAATTAAAAAAGAAATATTGTAAAAGAAAAATAAATACAATAAAAAATATACACCATCCATTACCAATTTATTTAATTATGGGAATGTTTATTAATAAATTCCAAGAATCGAAACTTAAGGTTTAGAACATAGAAAGTAAAGAAAAAAATATATTTGAGAATTATTCAGGATGTATGTCTGAAAAAAGATTAAAAGCTAAAAATGAAAATATGTAAAATACATATATCATTGAAAAAAATATATTTTTTGAATGAGGTAATATATAGATTATATCTTTTATTATAACTCTAAGTTTTTCTTAACAAAAGAACCTAAATATTCTTAAAATATCTACCCAATATATTCCTAATTCAAGTTATTATGTTGATATAAGGAAATATATATCTAATAAAAGAGCAATTGGACCATTTAATAAATCAAATGTTATAAATATATAACCTATATAATTTTTTATATAAAAAATATAAATATTATTTGTTCTAGAATTTTTTTATTTATTAAGTATTAAGTTTTTAACAAAAAAAAAATAATACAGAAAAAATAATTTCAAGAAATGATAGTATAAAAAATAAAATCTTACCGTAATAATCAAAATCTAAATAGTGGTCTTTTATATAAAAAAAATTAAAAAATATAGAAATTGTTACAATTATTGAATTAATTTCGTTTATATATCTATATACTAATAAGAAAGTATAATCTCCACTATATTTTTTTTTTATGATAAAAATATAAAAAAATATCTTTATCATTATTTAAATATTAAATTTAAATTACTTTGAAAAGCACGTTAAAGCAATCGTTTATGAGAATATTATTAATAAAGTAAAATATTCATTCTATTTTATGTATTGATTTTATTAACTTTTTTATTAAGTAAATTGAATATTCTTTTATTTCTATTATTAAAAAAAAAATCCTTTCATTTTAATTTTAGATATTTATTTTAAAGTATTTTTTTTATTTATATATTATTAAAAAAAAACTAATCGAAAATTATGTAAATAATAAGCTTTGTTATATATTTGATTATTATATAAATAAATTTAGAAATTTTTCTTTAAAACAATAAATCTCAATTCGTATTTTTAATAATGCAATAAACATCAAAAAATAACAAATTATAAAAGTGTAAAAATAAATATATTATTAAAAAAAAAAATTAATAAATAAAAAAAAAAAAATTTAAATAAAAAAAAATATATATAATTTTTATTAAGACAAAATAAATATAAAAAAAATTAATATATATTTATATACATATTAAAATATATTAAAGAAAATATTATTTATTTATTTAATTTTTTATTTACTTTTTATAAAATATATAATTAATATTTTTTGTAATTCATATATATTATCAGCTTAAAAGATTAATATTAATTCTTGCTTCTTTAGCCATTCTTAGAATTTCTGCCATTTTAACAGATTTTTAAGCTGCTTTTCCAAAATCTTCAGTTAAATTCATTTAAAATCCACTTTCCATAATTAATCTTTTTCCTTCTTCTAAATTAGTTCCTTTTAATCTAATAACAATAGGTTTTTTCATACCTAAATCCGATAAAGCCTTAATTAGACCAAGAACAACAATATCACATCTATTAATACCTGCAAAAATATTGATAAAAATTGATTCTACGTTTTTATCATTTTCCATTAATCTTAAAGCATTACAAACTTGTCTATCATTAGCTCCACCTCCAATATCTAGAAAATTAGCAGGCATTCCATTATTTTATTATATTATATCCATTGTTGCCATTGCTAATCCAGCTCCATTTACCATGCAACCAATATTTCCATCTAAAGCAATGTAATTAAGATTATTTTTATCTGCTTCAATTTCTTTTATATCTTTCTGTATTATTTTTTAAATTGTAAATTTTTTTAATAAATATATCTTTTACTTAAGTTATATCTTCAGATTAAGCTAATTCTATTTATCTAAATAAAGCATTATCATCTATAATCATTTTTTAGTCGCATATTACTAATTAACCATTTAAAGACAGAGCTAAAGGATTAATTTCTAATAAAGTGCAATCACTTTTCATAAAACAATCATATAAACCACTTACAATCTTTAGAATAGAAAATATATTATAAATAAAAATTAATTTATATATAAAAAAATATTTATTTATTTATATATAATATATATTTATATTTATAAATATATATTTATTTATACAAATATATATAAATTAATATTTATTTTAATTAAAATATTTAATTTATATATATTTATGTTTATTATTTTATTTTTTTATTTTTAATCAAGCGATTAATTTATTCTATATTTACTTACTTTATGTAATTGCTCATCATATTTTTATCCTATATTTAATGATTATGAAACTTCATGTAATATTTCTTCTGTTAGTCCTTTATCTATCTAAACGAAATGTGTTTTAACTGTTTCTACACCGCTTTATTCTACATTCATTCCTCCTCTTTCATTTGTTATTATTGTTATTCCACCTTATTTTCTATCAAGTGTTATTGCTAAATACAATTCCTTTTATAATTTTTTATTTCTAATTTTTAGTTTATTGTTTTACTTTTCTTAAAAACATTTTTTCTGTAATTAATACTTTATTAACAGGACGTCCTCGTAGTCCTGTTTATTTTGTAATTAGTGTATTTCCTAACATCTTAGCACTTATTTCTTTCACTTCTTCAGGTGAAAAGGCAAATTATACTCCTCCTTAAATACCATTTTCTTTAAAAAAACCTTTCCCTCTTCCTCCAGCATGAATTTGTGCTTTTACAACATAATCCATAAATTATATTCCTTCATTTTTTGGTTTATTTTGTGATAATTTTATGGCTATTTCTTCAGCTTCTTCTGCTGTACTTGCTTCTTATCCCTTTATTTTTTTTAAATGATTTAAATTTATTATAATAAATTATTTTTGTTACGTTTAAAACTGGAAGATTATATTTTCTTAGCAAATTCATAACTTAATATTCATGCATATTTATATAATATTTAGGAAGGAATTATAAATTTTACTTTTTTTATTTAAAGAATTTTATAAGGTTATTAAACATTTTTTTTAATATTTTTATTAATATATAATTAATTTTATTATAAATATTTATATGTTTTTAAAAAATTTAAATGATTAATAAAATTGTTTAACTTATTTTAATTAAAATAATCAAAAATATTTTATGTTTCATATTATATTTATTTTAACATCATAAAAAATGACGTAAATATACTTTTTATAATAATATAATGTTAAAATAATAATAAAAAGATATTAAAATTTTTTTATTTATATTAATATTTGAGTTAAATCATATATTTTAAAACTTCTAGTTTTAAAATAAAATATAAATTTATGTTTTTCGAAATAATAAAAGAAATTTTATTGTTTAAAACTGTTTTTTATTTTATTTTTTTCATAACTTTAAAAAAATATCTTATAATATATTAATTATATTTTTATATAATAATGTTTTTTTTATTTATTTATTTTGTATAAAATTTGATTTAATATCTAAAAATATTATTAATAAAAAGTATAAAAAAAATGTTTTATATATATTTATTTTAAATAGTGTCTTATTTGATTGATTATTTTATTATCAAATAATTTTTTATATTTATATCTATATTAATCAATTTTATATTTTTAATAATCTGAAAACTAAAGGAATCATTCCTATTGCTAAAGGAGTCCTTATAGGCATCATAGCTTTATAAAAAGCATAAGATAATATTGCCGTAGAAATAATATTTAATTATGCTTTATCATTTTAATCAATATTATTTTCCTAAACAATTTAATTCCTTATTTATAAATATTTTCCAGCAAATATTTTTGTGAAATAAAAATCTAAATCAACTTTAGTCCTTAAAAGGATAAATATTCCTGCGTAGTTTACTAAACAAAAGCATGCATATATAAATAAACATAACTTTTTATGCTTCCCATATTTACCAAATTTATTAAAAAACGAAAATTTTGTCATTTTATTATTTTTATTAAATTTAATCATAAAAAAAAAAAAAAAAAAAAATTATAAAAATTATAATTTAAATAAATTACATTAAGTTATACGACTTTCGTTATAAACTAAATAAAATAAATAAACAAAAAAATGAGTATTTCAAATATTTTAAATATAACAAACAATAATACCAAAAATTAAATAACATTAACTCGTCATTTAATAATGTAATAATAATAATAATATTAAAAAGATTCTACTAATGATTATACTTAATTAATAACAAGTATCCAAACAGCCTGTAAATATATATCATCAAAAGTAAAAAAAGCAGGCATAGCCCGTATATATAATCAAAGTATAGAAAACGAAGATAATCGTAGATTAGATGAAATAGCAAATGATATATTTATAAATTGCATGAAATAATCTGGCCAAGTAGCCATAATGGTAAGTGAAGAAGAGGAGAATATTATATAAATTGAGCAAAAAAATTAAGGAAATTTCGTCATTTGTTTTGATCCTATTGACGGGAGTACAAATATAGATGCTAATATTTCAATAGGATCGATTTTTTGTATTTGGCGAAGAATTAGCGACTCTATTGATTGTGCAAATATAAATGATATCCTATAAAGTGGAAAAAATATTGTTGCAGCAGGATATTGCATGTATGCGGCATCTACTTAGTTTGTTTTGGCAGTATAAAATGAGGTTAATGTTTATAATTTGGACCCGATTTTGGGAGAGTTTGTACTAACTAATTAGAATGTATAAATTCCTAAAAAAGGAAATATTTATTCGATTAATGAGGGTAATAGTGCGAATTGGGATGATTGTATTAAAGAATATATTAATAGTAAAAAATACCCAAAAGATTAATAATAATAAAACTATTCTTTAAGATATATAGGGTCTTTAGTGCCTGATATGCATAGAATAATTATGTATGGAGGGATTTTTCTTTATCCTGAGGATAAAAAAAATATTAAAGGAAAACTTAGAATTCTATATGAAATTTTGCCTTTTGCGTTTATTGTGGAAAATGCGGGAGGAAAAGCTATTATGGGAGCTGAAAGTATGGCTATTGAGGCAAAAGCTAATTAAATTCATGAAAAATGTAGCTTAATTTGTGGGTCTTATGATGATGTTTCGGATGTGGAAAATATTTATTAAAAATTTAAAAAATGATATTTTTTTTTTTTTTTTTATAATTTTTATAAAAAAAAAAAAAAAATATTTAAAATAAAAGAATTTTGAAGATTTTTTTGTTTTTATATGGGTTTAAATTAATATTTTTTTATTTATTTGTAGTATTATCATAATTATGTAAAAACATTTTATATTTTTTGTTATTGTTAGCTTCTTATTTGTTCAAGGTAATTAGATAAATTTTTTAATATCATACAAATTATATTGTAATGTTTTTTTCTTCTGATCATATTGTTTACTAGCTTATTTTAAGCAATAAAATCCCACTGTTAATTAAAAAAATTTTCAATATTTCTACTATTGCTTAAATGAGTTAACCTTAATTTAATCATTTAATCTTCCTAATTTTCAGAAAGCTATTATTTTCTATATCCTTAAGATAAAACATTAATTTTTTTAAAGGACCAAGAGGAAGAAAAGATTATTTTAAATAAAGTTATAATCTTTATTTCTAAGAATTAAATTAGTACTTGAAATTATTATTTTTGATTCTTTATTATAAGAATTCTATTACTAAATTATTATTATTATTATTATTATTATTATTATTATTATTATTATTATTATTATTATTATTTTTATTATTGTTATTATTGTTATTATTGTTATTATTATATTTCTTTATTTTTAACAAAATTATTTGTACTTTTAAACAAATCTAAATCAAAATCATCTTCAGATATTGTATTATCCTTCATAGAATGATATTATTTTTATTATTAATTTTCTACTAATTTAATACCTAATATTTTTATAGGTGATTCTTCATCTTCTATTTACGCCTTTATGCATTTGTTATGAAAAAATTCAGAGTTTTCCAATTAGTTTAAATAAAAATAATTTTTAGCAATTTAATAATAACAACTTATTTCTTTTTCTTCAAATTTATAAAGCCATGTATATTTAATTAACTTTTTTATATATATCATTGATTTTTCATAGTTTTTCAGTTATTTATATATCTAAATTATTCTTTCATAAGGAATTATTTTAAAATAAAAACTGCCATGAAAATTGCAAAACTTAATCATTTATTTATATATATGCAAAGCTTAAATAATATTACCTTATATCTCTGCTATTTAAGCGTATGAATATTGTACTAATAAATTTAATTAAATATTATTTATGACTTTACATTTTTGAACTATTAATTCTAACATTTCGTATATTTTTATTGAGTCTACTTATTCGTCTCTTATGCTAATTTTTAGTTATTGTACATATTCAATTAATTATTCACTTATAAGTAAATTTGCTTAAGTTTAAGGTATTTCTTGTATTTTTTCCACTTAATATTGTGTATATTTATTATTTTAAAACTCTACTTTTTTCGGCTATATTTGCTAAGACTTAAAATAAGATCTTATATCTGGTAAAGTGTGCTTTTATTTAGAATATTATTTTGTAAAAAAATTTAATTCTTAAATTATCCGGTAATGGTCATGTTTTAATTGATATTTAAAGCTATTTTTAGATTTTTAAATTCGTTAAGTTTAATTTAAATCCAAACTCATTTTTGGTGAAGACTATTTTCTTTTATTATTTTATAATTATTTTAATGTTAGGTTATATTTATGTGTTTCTTTTTTTCTTAAATATTAATTAATTCATTAAAATCTAACATACTCATTAGCTTTTTATTTGGCATTTTTTATTTCTATAATTCCTCTAACATTAATTTTTAATTTTTATTCGATTTTGTTTGTGAGCTAGTATTGCTTTATTCAGTATTTATTTATTATTATTTTATTAAGTTAATTGTTAATTCTTTTTTTGAATTCTAATATTATTTAAAAGAGTTAAATTATTAAGTAACTTAATTAGTTGATAAGGAAGAATTCAATTAAAATGAATATATTTATTTTTGGTTTTTATTATTTATGATAGAAAATTATTTTTAGTTATTTTTATTCTTTGATTCACGCTAATGAGAAGTAAAGTTTGATGGAGTTGATAATAATATATTATCATATGTATTTTATCGTATATATTATTTCTTATTCTAAAATTAATTTATAGTTATATCTTTTTATGGATATATTATTTTATTTTAGTTTTTATGCATTTTTAATGCACTGTTTTTTTTGAAATTTTTTCACTTTATATTTTGGGTATTGTCGATGTACTAATTTAATCATTTATTCCTACGTTTTCATTTAATTAATATATATTTGATGGCTGTTAATTCACTTATTAAAAATTTATAATTTATTTGAGTTTTTGAAAACTAACACTCATTTATTTAATATTTTATAAAAATAAAAAATAAATATTTATAAATAAATATTTATTTATTTTTCAATTTTTAATATATTAAATATTATAATAAAGTATTGATTTATATATTTATATATTTATATATATTTTTTATATATATTAAACTTTATGAAATCATTAATATTTTTTATAATTTATCATTAAATAATATATTTTTATGGTGTTTATTTACTATTAATATGTTTTTCTTTTTATTATAATAACCAATTGATAATTGCAATAATTAAAATTTAATTTTCATTAAAATAAAAATTCTCATATATATGTGTAAATAATTATTTATATTTTTTTAAAAAATTATTATTTCATTTACAAATTACTTTATATTTTTCATTTTCTATAATATATAAAAAAGTGTTTTTTATATAAATATTTAATTTATTTAATTTTAATATTTTAAATAATTTTTATTTTAATATATATTATATTGTATATATAGAAATATTATTATTATAACTTTAATTAGATTTAAACTCATTATCATTTTACTTATAATTTTAACTATAATTTTTATTCTGTAATTTTTATATTTATATAAATATTTTTATTATATGAATTTTCTTAAAATTCTTAGTAATCTCAATTTCTATTTTATTTATAAAAATTAATCACATGTTTTAAATATTTATTTCCATAATTAATTGCCTAAATTAATTGATTTGTTTGAATTCGATGAATTACTATTATTTAAGGTTATTATTGATATTGTTTCTTCTTAATTTGTCTCTTATAAATATTCTTGTATATTATTTTATTTATTTCCAGTTTGGTTTTAAATAAAATCATTTCATTAATTTATTTTGTTGAAAGTAAAAATATAAATTTTAAATAATTAAAGTTTGCCTCCTATAATTATAAAATTAAATTAAAATATTTTAAATTATTAAAATATAAATAATGATATAATAAATGTTTATATTTAAACAAATTTCAATTTTTAGTTGACTAAATTAGATTCTGTCTGAAATATATTTTTTTATATATTTAAATATAATTATTAGAATTTTTATATTTTAATATCTAAAAATAATAATAAAGATATGTACCATCTGAAATAATTAATGAGGGTTAATAAAAAAATTCAACAAATACTGATAAAAATGTCTGCGAATGTTTTTAAACTAAATTTTGATAATTTAAAATTTAATAAATTATAATGCTAATTAAAAATACACACATATATATATAAAATATTTTTATATTCACTAATTATTTTTCATTTCATAATATTATCTAAGTATATCCACCAAAACTTTACTTAATTATAATACATTCTATATTTTTATTAATAAAAATATAAATAAAATAAAAAAAAAATACCTTCACAATAATATAATTTTTAAAAGGGAAATCTTCCAAATAATTCTTCATTTCAATTTATAATTTACCATTAATATATTTATGGTTAGTAGATTTAATATTCATAATTGATTCTTTTTCTTCACTACTATCAAGTACAATAAAAACGAATAAAATTCCATTTTCTTCACCTTTAGCAACTAAAGGTTTGACCAATTTCTTATTAAATCTTCCATCACTCATAATAAAGCAAATTTAATGAATATCTTTTTGACCTTATTTTGAACTTTCAAACAACTAAATAGTCTAATCCATAAATTTAACTAAATCCATATCATTAGAACTATGATCTTAATGTTGGAATTAGAAAGCTGAAAGAATATAAGGAGAATCAGCTGGTGTTAGTTATTTATTAAAGTCATGTAGAAGGTTTAAGCCTTATTTTATTGCAGCTATTCCTATTTGACCAACTTCCATTTTACTCATAGCCAAACTTAAAGTGGTCATCGATTGTAAAGCGAAAAATCCAACATTTTAATGCTACATAGACATTGAATCGTCTATTGCAAGTAGAATCTAATAAGTACGTTTCGATGGCTGGCTTCTTCTTAACCATATTTTATCCTTTCTGAAATTAGAGGCTATGTAAGGGATTATTTTTTTCATATTTAGTCTTTTTCCGGATTTATAATCGCCTTTAAAAGATTAAATTTGGGTAGGCTCTAAAACTACTTTTAATTCTTCGCAAAGTTATTGGGATAAATATCGAGCTTAAGTTTCTAGAATTTACCATAGCTCTTGGGCTTTTTATAAACGGAGATCATCTGGAAGATCTTCGGAAGTGCTTTTTATGTCTTCAAGGTATTTTTCGAGAAGTTCTTGGATGTCTTATTGTAGTTCTAAGTTATCCTCTTGCTCCATTTTAGTGGGTTTAGGGATACTCTATTAAAGATCTAGGGGTTTTTTTTCTTTATAAATGTTTTAATCTTCTTCGTATTGTGTTTTTGCGGGTTTATTTTTTTGGGATTCTTTTTGCTCTTCTTCAAAATCAATTTGGGATTCTTTTTATTATTGTTATTGGTTGTTTTTATTTTCAGGCTTTTTTTATGTTTATTTTTATTATTATTCCTCTTTTTCAAGATCCTATTTAAGATTAGTTTAGTTGTTTGGAAATTCTTCAATATTATTTTAATCTTCTTACTACGTTTGGATATTCTATTAGTTATTTTGAGCATTAAAGTTGGTTTTTAATAATTAAGATAGTTAGTCTTGGCTCATATTTTAATCAGGATTATAAGCTTCATATTCGTTTTAGGGTTAGTTTTATAGTTTTTCTTCTTAATTTATTTATTAGATTTAATTTTCGTTTGATTCTTGAACAATTTAGAGATCTTTGAAGAAATTTTGAAGAGTTTAAGCAGTTGGTTGTGAGTTTTAAATGATTTATTTAAGGAATTCATTTGAGAATTTATTTATATTTTCTAATTGTTAACCTTCATTATTTTATTCTTATTAGTTTTCTTTATTTTCTTCTTAATTTTCTTGGTTATTCTAATTTATTTAGTTTTTTTCGGTTTTTTAGTCTTTTTTCTCATTTTGATTTTATATTTAATCATCGTTTCCTTCTGTGCCGTACTTATCTTCTTGAATATTTTTTTTTTTTTGGTTTTAGTTATGGACATTTTTAGGGAAGTCTTTTTTTTATTCTTCTTCTTCTTCAGCTATTTATTCATTATGTTCTTCTTCTTCTTCATCCATATTTTCGTTTTATACAGCTTGTTCCATTTAGGTTTTTTCTTCTTATTATTATTAGTTTTTTTCTTCGAAATCACTTATTTAATCTAATGGATCTATTTATTATTAGTCATTTTATTAGTCGTTTGCACTTTCCATATCTTCTTCAAGTTCTCCTTATTATGATCCGCCATCTTAATCTATATTTAGATATTATTTTATATATATATATATAATTAAATATTTTTTTTTACGTTCATCATTAAGTTCTTCTTCTTCTTCTAATTCCATTTAACCTTTAAGTAATTCAGGATCTAATTATTAATTTAAGTCTTTGTTTTCGCCATTTTATTCTTCTTCTTATTCTTCATCATCATTTTTTTACATTTAGTTGATTTCAGGTTCTGGGTTTTCCTTTTGTTCTACATTTTCGAAATCTTTAATATTTCTTTATTATTCTTTATCTTTCTTGGACTCGTCTTTGGCTTTATCTTCTAATTCTCCTTAAGGCTTTTACTTTGAGTTGAATTGTAATTAATCTTATTTTCTATTTTGTTTATTTTCATCGTTTTTTTTATCTTCTTCTTCTTAAGCGTCATCTCCTTCCCACATTTTAAAATCTAAATTATCATCGTCTACATCACTAAATTATTCATCAGCTTGATTTTCGGCTTTTTCCTGTTCCTTTTCATCTAATTCGTTATCCATTTTGGAGTTTTTACCCTTAAAATCTTAATCCATTTCAAATTCGTCTTCTTTATTTTCCTTGTTTTATTCTTCTTCTTGTTCGTTACTTTCTGAATTTTCTTAATAATCATCATCTTTGTTTCCTAATAACTATTCCTCAAATTCGATTTCTTTTGTAACGTTTTCCTTGCCTTTTCCTTCCCCTATACCTGTACCTTCTTTAAATTCATATTTTCCTTCCTCGTCGTCTGTTTCTCCTTCTTGGTCTCCGTTATTGTTTTTTGGTTGACAAAATCCTTTATAGAATAAATTATAGAATATTACAGACGTTAATTCTAATAGTTTAGATTAAGATTTGATGCTTTTTGAGTAATAAATAAGAATATTTTAGATGTATATTTTTAATAAATAGAGGATTTCCTTCAGGTTTTGAGAGTCTTACTTTTTTAGGGCTTTTTTTATTAGAGATTGTGAGTGGACTTCTTTTAATTTGTAAGAGAAATCATCGAATATTTTTTTGAGTTTTTGCATTGTTTTTTCTTCGTTTTATATAAAGGAAGCGTCATTATTTTCTAGATTTTATTTTTTTTCGATTTTTTATTCTTCTTATTATTATTATTCTTCTTCTTCTACTTATATATTTGATTTGAGAATTTATTTATATTTTTAAACTGTTTTAAATATTTTTTATGCAAAAAGTTAAATATCGTTAATTATTATTTATTCATCATTTACAGATTTTTAATTTTTTTGAATACATTGTTATATTTTTTATTGTAAAATATCCTATAAATAGACTATTAAGGCATTAATTTCTTTTATTTTCTCATTAAATTTATCTTTGAGGACTTTTTGAGAATCTAAAAGAACATATTTGTTAGTTTTTTGTTTACTTTTTTGTATTTTTTCTACTAATAAAGTCATGTTTTGGATTATTTTTTCATATTTTTTAACTTGAATTATTTTTCCATTCAATATATTTACACTTTCTTCGGTAAATTATTCACATTTTTTCAAAATTTCATCCTCTTCATCATTTTAAGAATAGTAATTCTTCACATTACTAAATAAAAAGGAACAATCATTCAATATTTCTGAAACTTTTTCATTAATAGACACATAATCATCAACTTAAATGCATATATCATCCTCGAATTAACAAAAATTGTTAAAAAATTGTTCTAAAGGAATAATTTTTTCACTTAAATCAGCCAAATTTACAAAAGATCTCTTAATATAATAAAAAAACTCGATTAAAAATCCACTTCCCCTCTTAATATTATCCATAGTAAGGTCTTCAGAATATTAATTATTAAACTTAAGTATACAAATTTTATCTAAAGTATTATAATAGCACTTTTCTATATAAGTAAAGTCCTCTTATAGTCCCAAAATATGGAAATTTTCAGAATTTATAACTTTCATATCATATAATAGAGTATTATCTTTCATTATTTAAGTAGTGGTTTTATAGTAAGAGGTAAATCCAAGTGTTTTGAGGAATTTAAAGTAATCAATAACAGCTTTATATTTCATATTTCGGGTCACGTCTTCACCATGTAGACATTTTATTCTATCAAAAACATCTATTATACTTTCTTCTATGTAAAGCCAGGAAGGAATATCTATATTGTTATCGTTTAAATCATTTATTTATTAATAAAAATTATTATTATTATTATTATTTTAAAATTATGGTATCAAAAGTGAATTTTTAATGCATAGTCTTTATGTTGTTTATACTAGTTTATTTTCATTTAAATTCACGCAATTCTTAAATGAGAGAGCGAAATTATTTAGTCTTTAATTTTTATATTAAATTTAATATTTTTGGTAAAAATTATCGTAGTTTTAAGCAAAAAAATTGTTTCTTTGTTTATCGAAAATATGTCTTGAAATTGGTTCTTATAAAAATCCTTTATATTTTTTTAGAATTCTGTGTAGTTTTCCCTAGAATTTTTCTACTGTTTATTTTAAAGTGAGGTAATTTTTACTTTCCCAACCAGCTAAATTAATATAGTCTTTACATTCTTTTTCATATTCTTATTTATTTTCATCTATTGTCTTATTAAAAGTTTCCAAAAACTACTCGTAGTATTTATAGACTTAAAAAATAATTTTTATATGTAATAAATCCTTCTATTGAGTCAAATAATATAAGGCTTTCATTCTTAAAGAAAAAGTTCCCATAACTGAAGTCCTGACATATTAATCTAATAAATTAAAAACATTTTCCTAGTCTTTTTATTGAGCGGATATTAGCAGGTTTCTAAGTTTCATGAATACTACTACATCTAAATTCTCGACTTCTTTTTCCTTTTCTTAAAGCATTTATTTCCAGCATTTTCTCTCTAAACCTCTCCAGTATAAAAGAAGATCGATTATAGGTTATGTCTAAACACTAAGGGTGTATTGCTTACTTGAAGAAATATTCCATTCTTCACATTTTTCAGCTATATATTGAAGACCAGTTATCATTTTATTTAATGGAGTTGTGTATATACTGTTTTCTAGTGTAAAATCACATAATATAGCTAAGTTTTATAATACAGCGTTATTTTCGAATATTTCTAGATTTAAGAGTTACTATATTTACTATAATAGACGGACTATAGGATTATATACTTTAATATTTTCTTCCGGAACTACATCTTTGTAGACATTAAATATGACTTTTTTTTCTTATATTTGTTATTATTATAAAAGATTAGTTTCTGATTAGATTTATGCAAATGAGAAAGTATATTCATATAAGATTTCTTTTCTGTTTTTGGAAGATAATAAAGGAAGATTTTCGGCCAGTTTTAATTTCATGAAATGGTTTTAGTGGGAAAAGTGTATTTTTGATTATGAAGTAGAATTTTTAGAGGATTATTTTGAGAATAAGTAAATAATTTACAAAGCGATATTTTGGCTTATATTTTTGATTCTTTCAGTTTCTTTTTTTGGTAAATCCTCGAATTTAACTTCTGTTTGATTAAAATAATTACTCGAAGTCGAAGTATTATTATTTTCAAACTCTAATTATTATTATTATGTTAATTCTATTTTTTCTTAAATAGATAAGTCTGTTTGGAGAAAATGAGAGTAAAAATGGGTAAAATTATTGAAAAATTATTTAATTTCTTCCTTTTCTTTTTCTTTATATTCTTCTACTGTTTCCTTAGTGTATTCATCTATAATCATTTTTTGGAACTTTCTTTAAGTTTTGATAATTTTTGTGGCGTCATCTTCTTCGAGTTTATTTAGTTCTTCTTTCAACATTAAGTTTTCGTTGCAAATTTATAATAAATAATATGCAAATTAATTTATATTTGTAATGTTATTTTTTTTGAAAAAATGAGTGTTTTTGTAATTTATGTTTGATAAAATTTCCTCTGCTAAAAACAATTAGTAGATATTTTTTTTAGCGAAAATTATCGTTTCGAAGTTTTGGAGAGTTTCGTTTATTTTTTAGGGAATTAAATCGACGTTTTTTCTTTTTCTTTCATTAAAAATCTTCTCTTCTTGTATTTCAATGTATTTTTTTATTAGAATATATGAAAAGTTAATCGGAATAAGAAAATCACTGAAATTAAGAGAGTATTTTTGAAACGAATTATGTAAATAATTTTCAATATTTTTTTTATTTCCTTTATTTTATCTTTCTTGTCTATTTCAGATAATAAATCTTCAATCTTTTCTATAAAAGGCAAATTGTCTTCAAAAAATTTGCCAAAACAAGCTATATTATCTCCATTGAAACCTCTGAAAATTATTCTAGATTGAATTTCTTGTATTAAATTTTTAGAAGTCTCTATTTAATCACTCAGTTTTTGTATATGGGGTTATTTTTAATTATGAAAACCAAAAATAGTCTTTTCTAAAACACAAAAAGCAGCATAATCATTCAAAAAATCATCATATTTAATTTTTTCATGTTAAAATTAGAAATCTTCCTTTATGAGTTCGGTTAAACAGTCGTTTTCTTCAGTTTCGAAAATACCTTTTTTTATAGAGAAGATTTTAGCAAATAAAATTCCAATTTTTTATAAGGAATTTTATTTTATAAATAAATTTTATAATTCTTCATTTAAAAAAACTGTGAATTTATAAAACAAAGAGTCATTATTTTATTAATTTAATAATATTTTTTCCTAAATAGCGATTATATTTTAAATATTCATATTTTTTAAGTATTCGATAAGTTAAACTATTAATGAAAAACATAAATTTTCTTCTTTATTTATAATTTTATTCATAATATTAAGAATCCAAATATAAGCTAAAATAAAAATTTAATCATCTTCATTATCTTAGAAATTATTATTATTGTTATTGTTAATATTATTATTATTATTATTATTATTATTATTATTATTATTATTAATTCCAAAATAATTAATGCAATTTCTTAATAGGTATATTTAATTATTTAAAATATTTAAATTTTTTAATTTTCCATTAATAATGCTTTCTGCGCAATTCTCTACTTCTAAAATGTCCATATGTAGATTTTACATTTCACAAATATAATTAATTTCCACAATATTGTTTATTGTAATATTTTTTTAGAGTAAAGAAATACACTTCATAAGTTCAAAAGAAGGCTTTTCTACAAATTTGCTTATATTTAATTTCATTTCTTGTAATTTATCTTCGTTAAAGAAAAAGGCAAAATTTTATATACCTTTAAATACTAAATATTTTCTTATTGACTAAAATGAATTTATATATTTATTATTTTCATAAAGTTCACTTTAAAATTCGCTGTTGTTTATTTCCCAATGTTTAATAGCTAAATCAGAATGTAAAATTGGAATTTTTTTTAAAATTTAATCATTATTATACTCATCTTTTATTATTATTTGGAAGTTATTTTCTATATTTTAAGTCATTATGTTTTCTATTTCTTTCTCAAAAATATTGAAATCAATACTCTAATCATTATTTTTGTCATATATTAAGGATAATATCTCTAAAGATGTTAATCTTGTTTTTGAATTTTCGATAAAATACATATTTCTGAATTTCTTTTTTAATTCAATAATTTATTAAGTAATACAGTCATTACTAGATTCTAAGATATTCATGACTTTTTCTCTTTCGAAAAATTGTGTCTTATTTCTGGGCATTTTTTGGAAATATTCACATTTTTTCCATAAAGTAACAAATAGGTTGATTTTTTAATTTTCAAGGCTTTTTTTTTCTAATTAGTTTTCATTTATTTCGTTTAGTTTTTCATTTAAAAGTTTATATATTTTAGGTAATTAATATATATTATTTATTATTTAAATAATTATATGTTATATTTTTTTTTAGTTTTCATTATTTTATTAATTTAAGTTTATTTTTTGGAATATTTTTTGTATTATTTAATCTTATAGTTTTGCTTATTGATAATTTTGAATTATATAAATATGAGCTTTTTTATTATTTTTCTTATTTTCGATTTCTTGTATTAATTTCTGATATAAAACCTAGCTAGAAATTTCATTATTTGAGTATTTTTCAAGGTCTAATTTTGAAATTCCACTTATATATTAATATTCTTGTACTTCCAAAGCACATTCGAGTATAATCATCGCTAAATTTTCTCTTATTTTTTGGTTAATTTCGGGTAAAAAGAAGATATTTTTAGAATAAATTTTTAAAGATGAAGTCTATTTATTTATTGGGAATTGTGTCAAATTTATTACTTTTTAATTCAATAATTAACTACTTTGTTTAATTTTGTTAATTTCTTCTTTATACAATTAGCATTTTTCATTAATTAATGGGTCTTAAGTATATAGGAAATTCAATTATTCTACTAAAGGATTAACAGAAACATCTTAAATGGCTTTTTCAAGATTTTATACTTTGTAGATTTTATATGTTTAATTAAAAACGGAAACTATGAAATCTTAAAAATTAGCAAAGTTTAGATGATTTTTAGATAGCATTTATTATTAAATATTAAGAAGGTACAGTTTAAAAGTCCTGAATTCACAAAAATTTAAAATCTTCATCAATTACAAAGGTAAAGAGAGTATAAAAAGAGTATTTTTTTAATTAAAAATATTCAAAAACATTTCATTTAAAAAGATATTCTATAAATCCGCAAAGTAAGCTTTTTCATCTTAAAAATTATTTATGTTTATCTAAACGCATTTGTTTTTGATTCCTTCATTTAATCCATCTGCAAAATCAACATTATTTAATAAAAACAATCTAAAATTCTAATTAATTTTTATTTTTTCGGATTAATATTCTGTTATTATAACTTCTTTCTTTCCTTCTAAATTTACATCTAATAATGGATTTAGCCTAGCTAAAACAGCTTAATTTGCCCTTTCAACGTTTTTTAAAACTACCCAATTTCCTTCTTGAATTGCGTTTATAATTTATGAGTAAAACCATTAGAAATATCCATTATTATTGAGTTCTTTTTTGTTTTATATTTCTTGGAATTCCTATTTTAAAGTTTCTATATTATTTTTTATTACACTTTTTTATTATTCTAAAAATTAAAGGGCTTTTTGGATATTAATCAGCATATTTTTTTATAAAGAAGAATTTTATTACAGAATAAACATTAATTTTAAAGCTTCAAAAAAGCTAGAATTATTATTCTAGTTTAAGTTCTCTTTTAAGATTTAAATTACTTTATTTTTTAATTAATACATTTCTCTCTAGAAATCTGCTTAATCATAACCTCCGATTAATTCACTACTATCAGTTTATGAATTTAAATTAAATTCAACTACTTTTTAACAATTGTTTAATTAAGAAAGAATTTCAATAAAAGTACTTTTTCCGCTTCCTGTTTTGCCGTTAATTATAAAAGTTGAGCAGTATTTATAATTATTTAAAAACATTAATTAGACATTATTTATTTGATTCTTATAAGAAAATGGAAGGCATATTTTTTCATTATTTTTATTCATGAATTTAAATTCTTTTGGTAAAATATTTAATTGTTCTTAATATTTTTCTTATATTTATATTGGATTTTCTTAAAATACTACATTATAAGCAGTTTATGCATTTTTTCCACATCTTAAATATATTTCGTAAAATCTCAAAACATCTCTTAAATTCGCTTTTTTAAATAGAGTTTTAGTGTTTTTTTTTTCTATGTAATCTAGCAATTCATTAATAATATTTTCTTCAAATTCATTTTTTTCTAAATCTTCATCAAAATATAAATCTTTTAAAATATCCAAAAAATTATCTTTATCATATTCTTCGACATGAATTTTACTAAATCTATTCAAAAAACTACTCGGTAGCCCTTTTCTTCCACCCCCTAATCCCATGGGATTTTATACAGCAAAAATCCTAAATTCGGGATGCTTTTTAAATTCTTGGTTAATTTCAGGGATAAAAACAGATCCTCTATGATCCAAAATAGCATTCAAACCTTCTAGCACACTCTAAGAAGCTAAATTAAGCTCCTCGAGTAAAATCCAATAACCGTTTTTGAGTGCATCTAAAAGAACTCCATCATACCATCTGAATTTCATTTATAATTTATTCTCACAGTGTGGCAAATCGCTGCCCAAAAGATCCACTATATCTGTTTATTCAGAAAGACATATTGTAGCTAATTTATTTCCGGTTAAATGGGCTATATATTCTATGATAGATGATTTTCCTACTCCTGGATTACCTTCTAATAGTATGGATTTATCTAATTATAATGCTTATATTATTTTATATAGAGTTTATTTAGTTTAAGAGTTTTATAAAGAATACTTAATATTTTTTTTCGAAGAAATAAAATTTGAGTTTTTCAAAGGAATTTCAAAATCTCCCATTTTCAATTTATTATTGTCTATAATGGAAATTAAATTATTATTATTATTATTATTTAATGAATTTCCAATATTTTATTATTCGACGAAATTTAGACATTCGAAAATCATTTTTTTCTTTTAATTTTCATTCAAAGGAAGGAATTTTATAGGCTCCAAAACTACCACATTAAGTGCATAAAAATACAACTAGTATATATTATTTGGACAAAATGTCTAAGTTTTATTCATAAATTACATCATAGAAACTATATCTCTCATAGTAATATTCCTTTTAGCCTCCAAAGCGTACATATCGCAGAAATCCGAGTTATAAAATTTTACGAAATCGTATATTTTCTCAGCCACATTTTCACTGTTATTAATATTAAACCCGCAATCGGTTAAATAGACTTTAATCATTTCCAAAACATCGTTTCTGCCTTATAGACTACAAATCAAGTTCTTACTAGTTAATGATTCTACCCAGATTTCAGTAAATCTATTTCTTAAAGCTGGAGATAATTCTCTTTTTCCGAAATCTCCACCTGGGTTCATTGTAGATATAATTACGAATTCTTCCTTAGCTTATATTTACTCACTTTCATTCTTTTCAGGAAGTAATAGGAATCTTTCGTTTTCTAAAACACTATTAAGTCTTTCCAGAACCGAATCTTCCGCCAAGGAGATTTCGTCTATTAAAAAAACGCCGCCTTGTTCCATGCTTTCTACTAAAGGACCGTTTTGCCATTCAAACATTGTTTCTGATTTTATGAAAAGTTCTTATAGTTTTTGTCTTTTTTGTTCATTTTTTATTATTTTTACTCTTTCGTCAATTGAAATTTATTAATTGTTTAAAAATTTATATTATTCTTCAATTAATTCTTAATCTAATTCTTATTCTAGGAAAACTCTTAATTATTCCTCATAAATTTCTTTTTTCCTTACAGGCCTTAGAGAACCCAAAAAATCGCTACTTTCAGTATACTAATGACAATTAATGGAAAAAACTTTCGAATTTCTCAAAAAGCCGGCAAGTTATGCCAAAGTAGTTTTTCCGCAACCTGTTTCTCCGATAAGTAATACAGGTTCTTTATTTTATAAACATTTTAAAGTTAAACAAGCCATTCTTTTAAAGCCTTCATTTAATTAAAGGAAGAAAGGAAATTAACTTTATAATGGTTTTAGCATATCATCGGAGAATTTCTAGTAATAAATTTACGGATTTAATTTAACCCGACAATGTTTTTCGATTATTTTTTATATAAAATCTCTTTCTTCTTAAGTCCTTAATCTTTCTGCGAGTAAGCAATAGCCTTCCATGGCTAATTCATCAACTGTCAAAACTGGCCTATTTCCCCATTTTATTAAATCCCTAATTGTAATACTACTCTCTTTACCTAAAAAGAAATTATTTCTTTGTCTAAAAAGCCTCAAATCTTTTAATATAGCCATTAATTTTTTACAATAAGAAGGGGCTATAGTACATCTTTTTTACAAAATCTACTAAAGATCATTTTCTTAAATATCCTCAAAAAAAATCTATACGAACCTATTTTTAAAGGCTTTTGATAATTCTTTCCTTCCACCATAAGAAGTAGGATTTTAAGTTGCGAAAATTCTAAAATTCTCATGTGGTCTGACATAACTCTAAGTTTCATTTACAAAAATCTCCTTATTATCATCTAGGAGTCTGTTCAAACTTTCCAAAATCTCACTTCTTGCTAAATTTAATTCGTCCAAAATTAACCAATTTCCCTCTTTCATAGACTATATTAAAACTCCTTCATGGAAAACCAATTTTCCTTTACTATCAGGTAAATATGATCCTATATATTCTTCAATTTCAGTATGTTAATGGTTATTTACTCGCACGCATTTATATCCAGAACGCTCCGCAATATATTTTATGATAGATGTTTTTCCAGCAGAAGTCGGACCTTCTAATAATACGGGAAGATCACTACTTGATATAGCTCTAAGTACGTCTATAGTGTATTTTTTGAACATATCGGTTATTAAAAATTCACATTCTTCCTCTTTCTTAATTTTTAGAGAACCTTTATTTAGTATAAAGCCGTATAAGTTAACTTTAAGAGGATTATTTTCGATAACTTTTTACTTTTGGTTTAACATTTCAGAATATTTTAAATGAGAAATTTAAAACGTTTTCTCTATTTGCATTTAAAAATGACCTTAACTTGCTTAACTCAAGGCAGTCCCGAAACCTAAATATAGTCCATCATAAAGAACTCGGTCTAATCCGTATGTTCCTATATTTTATTTGATATAATTTAAAGCACGAGCTAAATTTCTAAGTGAAATATGGAGTTTTCTTTAATAACCATCTTCTATATTATTATTTAAATCATATTTCATTTCCATAAATAAATCTACGATTTTAGATGATATTTCGACAGCGATTTAACTTCCTAATTTTTTTTTAACTAAATTCTATACATCTTCTCTTTCTTTTATATCATGTACATATATTTCAGTAAATTTTTTTCTAATATTTTCGGGTAATTCTTTTTTACCTATATATATATATTTATATATAATATAAAATAAATATATATAAAAACCTATTTCATTTCCAGGATTCATGCATCCTATTATTCTAAACATAGAGTGTCTTTTAATTTCTTTTAAATCACCTCTTTCATATAATAAAATAGATCTTCCTTCAATTATAGGCAATATTTTTTATAAAACCTCATTATTAGCAAGATTTATTTCATCAATAAGTACCCAATCTCCTTCTTTTATAGCTTTTATAAGATTTCCTTCTACGAAGTGGAAAGCTAAGTTTGATTCTATTTTTTCTTTGTTTTTATATAAATTGATAATTTTTTAGTGTAGTTTCTCCCACTTTTATATTGGTAGGCATTTCTTTTGGAGCTTTTGGAAAATACCATCAAAACTAGAAATCATAGCCTTCATTAGTGTAGAGTATTTTTTATGTAAAAAAAGTTGACTTAAATTATCCACAAAAGCTTTATTAGCTTAAACGTTAGCGATTTCTTGGAATTTTCTTATGTATTTCACCAATATCTTTTTTAATAATAGCCTCACATCAATAGGTTTAAAACCACCGATTAAATCTACAGCATCTGAGCCTTAATTCATGTTATAGATAAAAAGTTTTTTCTAAAATTATTCAGCAACATGTTATGCCATAGTTGTTTTGCCACAGCCTGTATCTCCTACAAGTAAACAGGGTTCATCAAAATACAAACAGGAAGCTATTTTTTCAATCAAACGTGAACTATAGGCATTATAAATGATATCTCTAGTAATATTATTAATAGCTATTTTACTATTACTATCATATTTTTAGGCATTATTTTAATTAAAATAGTTCTTCTATATACAACCTAATTTTCCTATTTTAACAAATTTATCATTCCTCTCAATTTCTGGAAAATGTTTAATTATACATAAATAGAAATCTTCTTTAGATAATTCTAGTATATTTAGAATAAAAAAAGCTATATTTTCATCAAAAACGGCATCTTTTTCTGCGAAAATTAGACTTTCGTAAATTTCTAGAAAAATTTTTTATTTAAAGTCATTTACTAGAGTATTGTTTTGTATTCCTATTTCTCCGTAAATTTCCTTTAGATGAAATTCTATTCTTTTGAATAATTTTATTATCTTTTCGGTGGTAATTCCATTTTTAAACCATATGTATTTTTTATAACACTCTTCTTTCAAATAATTTATTATTTTCATTATTTTATCGTATATATTATTATTGTTATTATTATTTAAAAATAAAAGCTTGTATTTCTCCTTTATAATATCATATAGACATTATTTAGATATAGGTTACATTTATATATACCCGTTTCCGCTATTTTATGCTACAAAATTCCTCTTTATATCCATTTTGCCCCCTCCGAAATTTCCACAACCAATAATCTTAAATTTAAAATCACTGATGATATTATTACCTCCCAGAATTTCACATTTTCCCTCTTTAGAGAATTTTAATAAGCCCTAAAGTACTTCTTCGGATGCTTCTTATACATTTTCTAGTAAAAGCCAAAGTCCTTCTTGCATACATTTAACTAAAGGACCTTATTTCCATTCAAATTGTCCAATCTTTTCCGTACAAACGTAACTTCCGATTAGTGTTTTTAAATCTGTGGTATTATCTACAAATAGAGAAATTATCTTTTGGTTAAAATCGGTTGAAATTTTATTTATTATTGTTGTTTTACCACAACCGGCTTCTCCATCTAATATAAGGAAATTGTTTTCGAGGATTTTTTGTTTTATTTCGTTTATATTTATATCTGTTTCTATATACAATTCGGTTGCTTTATTATCATTTTCTTCTTGTTTTTTAGTTTTTATAAACGTTTTATTGATAAATTTCATCTTAAATTTAATTATTTTTTATTACTGTTATTTATTATATCTCATCGTTATTAATTATTTAATTTTCTATATTTTCAAAAACTTATTACATTATTTCTTAACTTTTATATATTTTTTGTAAATAAAATTCAGTATTTTTGCCTTAATTGAATATTTTTTCAAGTACAAATTCACTCTAGATGTTTTCTTCATTTAAAGAGTTTAATTTAAGAATCAAATTTAAAGTAAGTGCCTCTACTTTTTCATCTTTATTTAAAATATTTTTCAAAAAATCAAACAAAACTCCACTTTCGAAAATTAAAGAAAAATACTAACAATCGAAATTAAATAAAATATTAAGATTAATAAGAATCTATATTATTTAATTGTAATTTTAATTCAAACTTAATTCCAATATTAAGTCATAATTATACCTATATTTCATTTCTTTATAATATTTTATTATGTCCTAGCGACTATATTTCTAAGTATAATATATAAAACACATAAAATTATCAACAATTATTCTATTTTTTCTATCTTGTATAAATTAGTCACTTTACTCGCTTAAGTATTTTATTATGTTTAGAATTCCTCTACCTGATTCTATCCATAGAGCGCTTAAATTTTAATTTTTTAATATTAAATTTAAAGCGAAATTTAAAATGCTTTGTTAAGAATTTTAGTCATTTGGGGATAAATATTAATATCCATATTTTATTTGGTTATTTTTTATTGCTTGTATTAATAGTTAAAAATCCTACATTTATTTTTGATTCTATATATATATATATATAAATATAGGTTATTTTTTATTATAGCTTTTAATTTATATTTATTCTTTATTTATTTAATATTCTTAATTATGTTTTTTATTAATATATTAATTTATATTTATACTTAATTATTTTTATTTTTATACCTTTATTTAATATTTTTCATTTTTTTCATTTTTAGCTAAAATAAAAAAATTGATATAATTATTTTATTAATTAAAAAAATATAATTAATTATAATTATCATCTATATATATTTTAAAAATAAAGAAGTTTAAGCAATTTATAAAAATACTTTTTTTTATTTTAAAAAAAATAAAAATTATTAATTTTATTTTATGTATCTTTTTACAAATTCCGATTTATTTTATCACTTAATTTATAATTTCTTGATAATAATATTTATATAAACCTTTTATCAATCATAATAATATAAAATAGATTTCTATTAGCATACAAAAATAATTTTAAACTAATTAGTTTATCTTAAATTTAACAGCAATATAATTATATTTTCTTAAAAATAACTTTTTTTACATAACTATATAAAAAATAAATCAATTATTTATATTTTAAAATTTTTTTAATCTTGTTATTTTATAATAAAAAAATTCAAAATTGTAATTTATTATAAAAACTAATATAAAAAAACTTCATTTATACCTAATAAATAAAAATTATATATAAAAAATGCTTTGTATAAAAAATTAGAATGCTTAATTAAAATTATAATACATTATTTTGTTTTTATAAATAAATTAAAACAATACAAAATATTAAAAGAAAAAAGTTAATTTTAAATAAATAAACAAAATAAATATTTATATATAAATAAATATTTTTAAAAAAACCTATATTTTAAAAGAAATATTATTAATATAGTTTTATATTTTATTATATAACAAAAAATATTCATATTAATATAAACACGCATAACTCTCTAATTAATAAAGTCTATATATTAATTAAATTAGAAAATTAATCTATTAAAATTTATTAAATTTTACTTAATCTTATATAATATTTATAAAATCATTATTATTAATTTATTTATAAAGAAAAAATTAATTATTTTTTTCTAGGGTAATTTAATAAATATATTAAATTACTTTTCATATATATGTTTTAATAATTTTAATTTTTTATTGAAAATATAAAGTTTAGTTAGCTTAAAGATATATTTACATGTTTAAAAAAAATAAAAAATTATAATTAATTTAAATTAATTAAATAATTTAATAAAAAATAATATATAGTATATTCAAATTAAAATTATAATAATAATTTTTATTTAAATATATATAATATATTATTATTAAAATAAATAATAATAGTTAAATAAAATCTTATGTTATATAAAAATATTAAAATAATATTTTAGTATATTAAAAACAAATTATTAAAAATAAAAATAAATAAAATATAAAATTAGTATATAGTAATAAAATATAAATAAAATTTAAAATAAGAAAAAAATTATATAAATTATTAAATTAGAAAATTAGAATAATAATAATAATAAAATAATAATAATAATAATAATAATAATAATAATAATCTTAAT